GAATCACAAACATATGCCACCACCCCTGGCACTGTATTATTTCTTAAAACTACATATGAATCTACAGTTATTTTGATAAGACATCAAATTAAAAATCAGTTGACTATATTTTTGTGGGTCACTTCTGGGCTTTCTATTCTAAGTCAATGATTTATGTTTATCATTTTGCCAGTTCCACAGTGTCTTGATTACTGTGCAATAAGTTTTAAAATCTTTGTGTTTTACTTCGATTTTCTTCAATTGTCCCTGTTGATTCTTTCAGCTAGACTTTAAAATACAGTAATTGTGTCAATTACACAGATAGCTATTCTTATTGGAATTGTATTAAATCTTTACATAAATGTGATAAGAAATGTCATCTAAAGCACTTAATTTTCTCATTCAGCAGTATGAAGCATTGTTCTATTGTTTTCAGTGTTCAGTCTTACTCAGGGAGATTCTTCATTTTCTTATTAGGGCTGTGCCTTTTAGATTTTATGATACTTGATACTCTCATTGATTTACTCTTTTAACTTCAACTATATTCTCTGGTATGTATATAAGTGATTTATTTCTGTGTATTGATCTTTATCCTGCCATCTTATGGAACTCTTTAATTCTAAAAGGTTTTCAGTTGATTTTCTTAGGCTAAATGTTTATCTGCACATAGCAATTATTTTCACCTTTGTAAAAATTTTGTCTGTTACGCTGGGTGCCTGTCTTGTGTGTGTGTGTGGGGGTTGGGGGCCTGTGTTACTGGGGATTGAATCCAGGGCCTTCTCAGAATGCTACATCCTCAATCCTTTTTCACTTCTTAAATTTTGATACGGGATCTACCTAAGTTGCTAAATTATCTAGGCTGAGCTTGAACTTGGGATCCTCCTCCCTCAGCCTCCCAGAGTGCTAGGGTTTATAGCCATGCACCACCACACCTAGCTGGTTGTCTGGCTTTTTATGGTATTAAATTGCCCAAGACTCATAAAACTGGATCATAAGGCCACTAGCAAACTCCAGGAGCTGGTGTAAATGGACAGCTCACCTGGGATACAATGAAATTGGAGTACAGTAGTTACACTCCAACTCCTGTCCATTGTATAGAGGCTAGTATCTGACATGTGGTTGGGGTGAGAACTGCAGGGCACTTGTAGCTTTTCCTGAAAGTGGACAAAGCAGTCTTTGAACACCCAAGAAATTTCTGGGACTGAGATTGAAATGCAGGCAGTTGGAAATTTAGAACTAAGGGGCCTCGAAGGAATATGAGTGGAGCACCGGCAACATTTCTTGAAGAGCTCTTTTTCTTGCTTCTCTATTCTCCTTTCTCTCCTCACAAATTCTAGCTGCCCCTCTGCCCCACTGCAGCCCGACAGTCTGAAGGTCATTGTGGTTAAATACAACAAGAAAAAAGGGAGAGATAATCTCCAGATTTCAAGGGCATCTGACTGTGCCCAAATTTCCAAGGCACAGAAATCACAACCATTCCCATTGACAGTGAACCAGTGCTAGGCAGTATGTCTTCCTGTAAAGTAAACAATTTTACTCAAGTCACACATACAAACAAAAAACAACAGCTCCACAGAAAAGAGGCTGGCATTGTCAGCAAGAACGAGTGATTTGGATCTGATACTCCGCTGGCCTGACCTGCTGGGCCTGTAAGTGCCTGGATCTAGGAATAGCAGCTCCAGGGACAACTTATGTCTCCTCTTAATACCAGCTTCAGATATAGACATATTTCTCATGACCCTGAGAAGAAATAGCAGAAATAGCATGAAGATAGAAATTTCTTAGGTTTCTTCCCTTCTAACTCTTTTACATTCTTACTCTGTAATACTCACTAAAATCAAAATAAAGCTTTCTTCTTTTTAAATAGATGATGTTTCTTTGGTAGGTTTTCTTAATCTCCTGTCTCTTAAATTCCAATGTCCTTATAAATGTTCAGTATTCTCTAATAGCATTCATTTAAATAATCTCCTGTCTTTGTGAATGATTCCTGCCATCTGCAATCTTTATCAAGGTGTCTTTTAAATTACAATCCACTTAATAAAATGTGTAATACCTTCCTAACTTGGAAAAGTTTTACTGTAGCATATGGTGTTGAAAAAAGAGGCCGAAAGAAAAGAATATTAAAGAAGCAAAATATTTACTATTAGATTGGCTGTCATTTAGAATTATATCCATCATTATTATTGAAATTTTAAACTAATATTTATTAAACCTTATATGAATAGAATTATACTGGGCAATGAGTGCAACCTACGATTTAGAGCTGCAGAAATTTACTAGTAGTAAATATAAATAACAAAGTTAGGTGACAACGAGATGTGAATCCTCAAATAATAAAGTACCTTTTCAAATACTTTTGATAAAGAAAAATACACTTAACTTTTTTTTTTATTAAATTCTTTTATTGGTACATTGTAGGTATACAACACAATTACATTTCTCATTGCGAATTGTACCTTTACATAAT